TTCAGCAGACCCTCAAGTTCCCACAAAAGTTTCCAGCCATGTCTGAGAGGCAGCCGTGGGGCAGGGGCAGGCGAGGAGCGAGCTGTTCCGGGCCTGGCTGCTCCGGGCCTGGCCTCTGTTGCTCTGGTTCGTTCCACAACCAGCTGCTCCGGGTCTGGTCACCGCCGCTCCCGACCTATCGTAGTTGCTCTGGACCTGGCTGCTGCTGCTCCGGGCCTGGTTGCTCCGGGCCTGGTTGCTCCGGGCCTGGCCACTCCCAGACTGGCAGCTGCTGCTTGCAAGCTGATTTTATAGTCAGAGGTAAACAAGGTAATTCACAATGTTCTTATAAGTTTCACTTGTTTTGGCAGCACTTGCTGCACCTCCCACAGCCCATTAGCTACCCAGGAAAGATCTAGGGAGCAGTCACAAGATCCAGCTTAATTATGATAAGAGAACTGTGCCCTCTAAGCTGGGACTTGTTCTAAGCTTTGCCAGAAGGTGAGCCCAAGGCTTAACCCTATAATCGCTCCCTACACACCACCAAGACTGAACCCTAATGTAAACTATGGACTTGGGTGAATGTGGTTTCATTTATAGAAACAATGGGATGTTGATAATGGGGGAAGCTGTATGTGTGTGAAAGCAGGGATATGTGGGGACTCTTTGTACTTTCCACCCAAAAAAATAGTCTTAAAAAATACCTGAGGACTAACAGCTATTAAGTGCTCATGCTCACCATGTTCCAGGCATGTGCTATGAGCTTTTATTATTTTATTTTAGGAAAATGGATAGTTCTGTGAGAAAGAGATTCAATCCTAGAGGATATTTAGGTGTTTTCAATTATATTGGTAATGTTTTCATTTCACAAGTATTGATGGTATTATTTTTAAACCTTTTTATCTTAAATATTTCATAATACATTTAAAACATGAATGAATGAAGGAGAATAAATGCAACTTTTAGCTTCATATGAACTTGCTCACTGAGACAGTGGGTTGTTAGATCAATCTTTACATCTGGTCTGCTTGACATTATATTTTATTCCTCAGTGTTACTGGTGTTCAGGTATACTCTCCTAGTGTGCTTAGTCACACTAAGGCACATGTGTCAAATCCGTCCCGCCAGGCCTTGCAACGTGGCCCGCACCGCGCTGTCATCACTGCACTCCGCTGCGTTTCCATCACAATGACAGTTTATGACTGTTCAGTAAACCATTCGGCCCGCGATTTAGGCTGGATTTTAGATTTTGGCCCCTTCTCTGATTGAGTTCGACACCCCTACACTAAGGCATCCTTCTATAAATCAATACTGAGGGACTAAACATACTGAAGACCAAGGGTAAAGGCCTGACCCTGCGGCATGGAACATTCCCACCATGTGAGATCTCTTAGGAAAAATCCAACTTGCCTTCACCAGCCGAAACCCCTTTCTTTGCCTGCCTTCAGACTTACAAAGTCTTTAAAATGTTATTTAAATACTAGAGGTCCAGTGCAGCCATGTTAGATCCGCCAGCCAACCCATGAGTCACATGAGCTGGTTCCTTGCTCCGAAAAGAATGCCTTATCTTTTTTCTAGATGCCACTTTAGGAGGTGAAGGTAGAATGTCTGTAGCCATCTTTTGCCATGACTGGAGCTTCTGGAGAACAAAACCAGCACACTGAGAATTGGAAATTGGAGGGAAATAAAGAAAACCGGAGTCTGTGATAACGTCATCAAGTTGCTGAATTAACTGTGGAGCTAGTTGACTTTCGGACTTTTTATTATATAAGAGAGCATATTTCCCATTGTTTAAGTTACTTTGAGTTGGCTTTTTTTGTTACTTGAGGTTGAAGCCATTCTAACTGATACGTTCCTCTACCTGCTCAGGTACGAAATGCCTGACATACCTGCATAATATATAATGGACATTTAATAAATTTGTTATTGCTGAGGAAATTGAAAAAATGTTTGTGGTGGCGACTGCTAATTGCTTACCCAACAACCATTCTCCTTTTCCTCCTTACTTACAGAACTCTGAATTTTAGCTGGGCATACTGCAATCTAGAACAAAAGATTATTTCCCTGTCTGCTCTGCATATAGATATGACTCTGTAACTAAATTCAGGCCAATGAGATGTAAGCAACAGTGTTGTGTGGGAGGGCCGATTACAGGAGCTGGCTCAGCTGAAGGAACCTGCTTTGTTGTCCCAATTTTCATCTTGCCTCCCCAACTTGGTTTCTCTGGCTAGAGTTCTAGGCACCATGGAAGCCGTGAACTGACATTGAGGATGGAAGCCAAGAGCTAGAATGTCAAGCAGAAAGAGAAGCCTGGGGTCCTGATTGCTACCACTCCAGTCCGATTCTTCATCGTCTCGGAATTGAATAATTATTATAACTCTTTTTCTAAAATGTCTCCCTGATGCCAGTGCTAGTTCCTCTGCCCATTTTACTGTGCCTCTAATAGATTACCCCTCCAGCTTCCCATGGCCACAACATTCCATCAGAGCATGCCCAGAACCTTTATTTTGCCACTTTAAACTTTGCTATTACTCGGCCTGACTCTGAGTCTCTATCAAATGAAGATAAAAGTCACTAGTTGGTTCTCTTGCTGCAGCAAACGAAGTAAATACTGTTCTCATTTGGTGGTCTTTGTTTATTTCCACAGAATGAATGATCTGTACAGGATCTAACTTGGGTGGGATGTAAGCCTGGAGCTGTAAGTAGCACCTTGGCGACTATGGAGGGAGAGCCTAAGAACAGTAGCAGCACAGAGATGGGCAGAGCAGGACATGGAGGCCCGGAGAACAAGACCTGATGATGTGCTTTAGCCACCTGTGGCTAAACTCAGCTCTCCCGGATTTTGCTGTTTCATGAGCCAATGCATTCCTGTGTTGCATTTGCTAGTTGGAGTTTCTGTGGCTTGCAACCAAGAGTCATGACAATAAAATCTTTCCTTCGAGCCCCGCCAATCCTCTTAGCATAAGAGTCCGTAGCAATTTCCAGTCTTGTGGAGAGGGAGAATTGGAGAGCCCTCATGCTTTGGTCACTGATGACAAATGGAACCCTGACCTAGAGAAAGTTCAGTGGGCACCAAACAATGCTGCGCTGTCCCACAGTTAGGCTCCAAGGTTTACAGCTTTGAGTTCACATTCACGTGCTCCGTGCTCGGCTACTGTTCTCCAAGGTAGGACCTATCAGAGTGGCTGGGCCTAGGGAGGTTTCCAGCTCACCACATGCCATTCCAAAACCAGCCCTCTGCACAGAACTGCAGGCCCTGGTGTCAGTCCTGGTTTATAACCCCCATGCCCACCTCCTGGTAAATTCTCCTGGTCTGGGGCAGGGGCCTATTCAGCTTAACCTAGAAAGATTTTCTGAATTTCAACTCTTGGGAGTTTTATTCTCCCCCCTCCCCCTTACCAAAAGGCCTTGGACTCCTACACAAATTAGTCCAGCCCCTCTCCAGTGCTCGGTGTACAAGGAAATCTCTAGGAGATGCTTGGTTTTTCTCAAGTAATAAAGCGTTCCCTTCTCTAGGGCAAAAAGTATGTATTTATATCTAAAAGAAGCTATTTCTTCTTCTTTTTTTTTTTTTTTTTTTTTTTTTTTAGGAGGCTTTGGTTGTGTTTACACTATAAGTCTGTTCTCTCAGGGGTTGATTTACCTGAAATCAATAAACATTCTATTTCTACAAAAGAAGCCATTTTTTGAAATGGCCTTTCAGAATATAAAAAATCTGCTCCTAGATGACTGTATCTTTGTTTACTCAGGGAAGCAGTTCTGTGGTTTAAGAAGTATAAAATGAAAAAAAGCTCTTATTTCCCAGTACCCCACACTGAACAATTCTGCTTGTCTGGTTACTCTCTTGTTTGTTTCCAAATCCCAGCTTCTAACACACTGGCTTGCAGGTTACCCTTCCCTCTTCTATCTCTGGAACCCTACAATCCAAGACCACACTACTGACTGCATAATCATTTGCTCTCTCATTCTTCATAAATATTAGTTTTTTTTCCTGTTAATTAGTATACACATACTTGGAGAGCAGAAATCAGTTTCCCTGACTATTCTTTATCACATAGCATTCAATATACAGTTAGTGAGTGAATGACAATGGATGATCAGGTATCATTTGTAACAAATAGTACTTTCAAAGCTTGAATTTTTTTAAAAAAATGTATTTTATTGATTTCAGAGAGAAAGGGAGAGGGAGAAAGATAGGAACATCAATGATGAGAGAGAATCATATCATCCATTGGCTGCCTCCTGCACCCCCCACACTGGGGAAAGAGCCCGCAACCCAGGCATATGCCCTGACCATGGGTCAAATCTTGACCTAATGGTTCATAGGTCGATGCTCAACCACTGAGCCACACAGTGGGACTTTTTATTTTAATTTTTAAAAATATATTTTATTGATTTTTTACAGAGAGGAAGGGAAAGGGATAGATTTAGAAACATCGATGAGAAACATCCACCAGCTGCCTCTTGCACACCCCCTACTGGGGATGTGCCCGCAACCAAGGCACATGCCCTTGACCAGAATCGAACTTGGGACCTTTCAGTCCGCAGGCTGACGCTCTATCCACCGAGCCAAACCGGTTTCAGCTCACAGCGGGGCTTTTTTTTTTTTTTTTTTTTTTTTTTTAATCTCTCCTTTCCTCTCTGAAATCAATAAAAAATAATATATAATATTAAAATGACATTCTTTAAAAGTAATTTCAACTTGTCAAAAAGTCAAATGTTTTAAAATCCAGCTTAATTTAATGTTTCTTTTCTGTTGCTATAAAGCTGAGTGTGCGGTTTGATACTATAAGTTAACAAAAAGCTTTTTGTGTGTGTCCTGTAAACATTTCTTTCTCAAATGTCTCGCTCCTCTGGAAAGGTACCCTCAGGAGACGTTGGAGAGGAAACCTGACAGAGACTGGACATTTCTGAGCTGTAGGACTTCCCTTCCGCCTAGCGGTTCACTTTAAAAAGCTGAGAGGGGGCGGGGCCGGGCGCTTGCGCCTGCGTGTCTCTAGTAGTCTACGTCACGGCGCCGACGTCAGCTGACGGCACGTACGCCGCGGTCGCCGCAGCCATTTACTCTACCGGGCTGTTGTCGCTGCTGTCGCCGCGGCCCCGCCGCCTCCGCTGCCTCTGCCGCCTCGGTCGCCGCCGCCGCCTCGGTCCCCGCCGCCGCCATGGCTCAGTACAAGGGCGCCGCGAGCGAGGCGGGCCGCGCCATGCACCTGATGAAGAAGCGGGAGAAGCAGCGCGAGCAAATGGAGCAGATGAAGCAGCGGATCGCCGAGGAGAACATCATGAAATCCAACATTGACAAGAAGTTCTCCGCGCACTACGATGCCGTGGAGGCCGAGCTCAAGTCCAGCACCGTGGGGCTGGTGACCCTGAATGACATGAAGGCCAAGCAGGAGGCCCTGGTGAAGGAACGGGAGAAGCAGCTGGCCAAGAAGGAACAGTCCAAGGAGCTGCAGCTGAAGCTGGAGAAGCTGCGCGAGAAGGAGCGCAAAAAGGAGGCCAAGCGGAAGATCTCCTGCCTGTCCTTCACGGTGGGCGAGGAGGAGGAGGAGGTGAGCGAGGAGCAGGAGGAGGTGGCCCTGGAGGAGGAGGAGCTGGAAAGGGAAGAGATCGCCTCAAAGAAGAGGAAATTGGGGAAGAACCCAGATGTGGACACCAGCTTTTTGCCTGACCGCGACCGCGAGGAGGAGGAGAATCGGCTCCGGGAAGAGCTGCGGCAGGAGTGGGAAGCCAAGCAGGAGAAGATCAAGAGTGAGGAGATCGAGATCACCTTCAGCTACTGGGATGGCTCCGGGCATCGCCGCACAGTCAAGATGAAAAAAGGCAACACCATGCAGCAGTTCCTGCAGAAGGCGCTGGAGATCCTGCGCAAAGACTTCAGCGAGCTCAGGTCAGCGGGGGTGGAGCAGCTCATGTACATCAAGGAGGACCTGATCATCCCCCACCACCACAGCTTCTACGACTTCATCGTCACCAAGGCGCGAGGGAAGAGCGGCCCTCTCTTCAACTTCGATGTTCATGACGACGTGCGGCTGCTGAGTGACGCCACTGTGGAGAAGGACGAGTCACACGCAGGCAAGGTGGTGCTGAGGAGCTGGTACGAGAAGAACAAGCACATCTTCCCCGCCAGCCGCTGGGAACCCTACGACCCCGAGAAGAAGTGGGACAAGTACACGATCCGGTGAACGCAAAGGTGGAGCAGGCTTGCTCCCCAGCTCCCTCCAGGCGCCCCACTCCCCGTGTCTCCAGGATTCCAGCTTCCCCCTCCTGTGACATGACTGATCAGCCCTTGCCCCTATGCTGTCATTTACTGTTTCTTTCTTTTGTGATAAAGAAATGTACATGTTAGAATCAGTACTGTGTTTTATTTTTTTAATTTTGAGATAAAATTCACATAACGAAGTTCACCATTTTGGCCGTATGCAAGTATACAATTCAAGGGTATTTCGTACATTGACATTGTTGTGCAACCATCACCCCATCACCTCTAATTCCAGAATATTTCCAATATCCCAAAAGGATTCCCCTTACTCTTAGCAGTCTCTCCCCCAGGCCCTGGCACACTCTAGTCTACTTTCTGTCTATGGATTTGCCTATTCTAGAAGTTTCACATACATGGTATTACCCAATTAAAAAAAAAAAAAAAGCTAAAGTGAGAGAATTAGGTACCCCTTTCCCAACTAGTTTTTATTATTATTTTTCTAATCTTCACCAGAGGATATTTTTCTATTGCTTTTAGATTGAGTGGAAGGGAAATGAAGGAGAAAGAGAGGGAGAGAGAAACATTGACTGACTGCCTCCCACAAGTATCCCTACTGGGCTGGGGATCAGGCTGGGGTATGGTGCTGGAGATTAAGCCTGCAACTGAGGTACATAGGCTCATGCTCTAACCACTGAGCAAACCAGCTAGGGCCCAAACTATTTTGATAGGTTCATTCATATATATTCATGAATTGACATACAATATAAAGTTATAAATCAAGGACTTTTTACATTTTTAGATAAAAGATTTAAATCTCTTGCCAACTTTCCTTTAACATGTTGAAAAAACAAATTCTTACATCAAGATCTGAAATGTGAGGCTGCTTTTCTATTTCTTCATCTCCTAATAAGGACTAAGAGGCAATTTGCATCAATTCACCTCCTACTCCTTGGCATCCCCAATTCCTCCAGCAGTTATTGCGAAGGTGGCTTCATTTTCAGGCATCTCAGGGCTAACAAAATGCAAGGGAACAAGTTTATAAAAAGCTCTATGTCTATAAATACTGTATTCATGTCACAGACATCACACTCCTTTCCGTATGGTTTTCCAGAGACATCTCAGAGTTGGTACAGCTAAATGTGGACTACAGAATTTACAAGTATAAACCCACAAACACTTATTTAGCAACTTATTTTTTCCCCTCTAAATCTTAGGGAAGTTTGAGCCAAACTGAGGACATGCTTGGAAGCAAGATCTCAAATGTTCCTGAACAATTTGTATATGTAAGCTTCTGAATGTCAAGAAAAATTACCCCAAGCTTAGAAATAGGCCGAAAGGATAACTGACTATTCTTTCAGTGAGCTGTCAGGCATTGTGTAGCAGACCCTGAGGGGCTTACACGATTCTAAAGGATATGCGCCTTTTATTGACTAGACCAAAGCGGGGGAAACTGAAAGACTGAAATGAACAGAAAGACTACTGAGTAACTTCAGTGGAGAAAACAGGTTGGCTAGCACATCTTTCCAGGTTATCCGATTCTATGAGAACTGTGCTTTGCATGGTCTATGAGCTATTTCATAACTCTGTAAGTTGTAGAAAGCTATGAGTTATACGAATTGTTCTTGTCCCCAGAAATGTCAATTTTGAGGATGCACGTAATTGATTATTGCCCTGTGGATACTGTAACCCAGTTCTTATCGATTTATAATTCATTTCAGCATTCCTTATTTGACTGCATATGGGTGGTAATTTGCTTTTTTCTTTTAATCTAGTTATAAAATTTTACTAGTTACTGCATTAATGAGTTGAATATACTCTTTGATATTTTATATTTGTACATGAGTCATTGTATATTCTTTAAATTTTACTTTTTTGTTCTACAACTCTGTAGGGGAGAGTTAATTTGTAGAACACTAATAGCAATGCAGATGATTCTTGTCTGAGAGTAATGCTGATTATTCCTATCTATAACACATGGAAATTAATTTCATTATGTAGAGAAGCAACTGATTTCCCTCCAGTAGAAAAGATAACTTCATTTGTTGATTTATCTTATTTTTTAAATATATATATTTTTATTAATTTCAGAGAAGAAGGGAGAGGGAGAGAGAGAGAAACATCAATGATGAGAGAGAGTCATTCATTGGCTGCCTCTAGCATTCCCCACACTGGGGATCAAACCTGGGCATGTGCACTAACCAGGGATCAAACCTTGACCTCCTGGTTCATAGGTCAATGTTCAACTACTGAGCCAGGCAAGTGAGGTTTATATTTTTATTTTTTATTTTATTTTTAGAGAAAGAGAGGAAGGAAGGGAGGGAGGGTGGGTGAAAGGGAGAGAGAGAGAGAGACAGAGAGAGAGATTTGTTATTCTGCTTGTGGATGCATTCATTGGTTGATTCTTATACATGCTCTGACTGGAAATTGAACCCACAACCTTGGCGTATCTGGACAATGCTCTAATTAACCGAGAACCTGTCCAGGGCCAAAAAGCCATTAATATGCTCTGTAAACCACTGCAGAGATTTGGGCTTTTATTATGGACTAAGATGGGGAGCCATTGGAGGATTTTAAGCAGAGAATAGATATGATCTTAGTTTTTACAAAGGATCTCTTTGACTTCTGTATTTAAAATAGACTGTAGAGGCCGAAACCCGTTTGGCTCAGTGGATAGAGCATCAGCCTGTGGACTGAAAGGTCCCAGATTCGATTCCGGTCAAGGGCATGTACATTGGTTGTGGGCACATCCCCGGTGGGGGATGTGCAGGAGGCAGCTGATCAATGTTTCTAGCTCTCTATCCCTCTCCTTTCCTCTCTGTAAAAAATCAATAAAATATATTTTAAATATATATATAAAATAGACTGTGAAGGAGCAATGGTTACCTAACTGCTTAGGGCCTTGGTTTCCTCATGTGTGAAATGGGGATAATGACCTCTATCTCTTAGGGTTGTTGTTATAAACAATGAAATATATATATAAAGCACTTGGCATGAGGCCTAGCACATAGTAGCCATTCAATTAGTGTTAACTATTACTATTAGCAGCAACATCTTTACCAAAAAGTTCTGAAATTCAGAAGTTCTTTGTGAGAAATCTTTAGGAACTAGAAAGAAGGGAGTATGTGCTACATAGACTAGAAACTTAGAAGATAACTTTTGACATTTTAAACTCTGATTTAATTTGTTTTGCTATTTTTATTCTAATCTAAGGAAATTTGACATAACTAATCTAGATAATAACTTTATCCTTTTTGAGTCTGCAGAACCCTAGTATTCTCTTAGGACCTTAAGAAATGGAGGAGTTGTCTGTTCCTGCGGCGATTTGGAGGGCTTGATGAAATACACAAATGATTGAACATGGAAGTCCATTCATTTAACTTAATAGTTACTGAGTTCCTACATGTGCCCAGTAGCTTGCTAGGTGCTGGGGACATTTAAGGACCAAACAGTCCCTGTTGTGAGGGAGATGTACATGTAATCAGTAGAAAAGTGTTAGGAAAGTTCTAAGCACAGAAATCTGTCCAAGATACAGATCAAGAATTTTTAGTAAAAATATGAAACAATTCTACTATTTGATTTAACAACAAAAAAAAACATTTGTAGCAAATTTCTAGAGATTTTTTGAAGCACCATAAAACACAGCATTTGAATATTATAGTCTTCCAAAGGACAGGCAATAAAAAGCAAGATGGTCTGTATAAAACCCTATAGATATGGGAAATGATTATTTAATATTTATTCAATAACAATGTATAATAAGCACTCTGCTTCATAGCAAAAACAAGATTAGGAGCTCATCTGATTTCTTTTTGACTGATTTTCCCCTCCTTACAGTAAAGGTTATTACACCTCTTTGCCTTGTTGCTCAGGGATGGCTAATCAGTAAGTCACAAATATTGCACATCTCTGATTTCCCAGGCATAGTGTTCCAATCCTCAAGATATTTAATGTCTGGCAAGGATGACATATGCTATACTGTAAATCACTACCAGTGGAATGTAAGCTGTATGAGGGCAGGGCCTTGTTTTTTGTTTCACTGATCTGTCATTAGAACCAAGACCAGATGACACATAATAGGTTTCTCTATAAAATTTATTGTTTGTAATTATTTTCTTAAGAAAGAGAGTAGAAGGGAGAGAGGGAGATGAGAGAGAGAGAGAGAGAAAGAAAGAGAGAGAGAGAAACATCGATGTGAGAGAGACACATCAATTGGTTGCCTTCTACACGTGCCCTGACCAGTTGGGATTAAGCCTGCAACCCAGGTACCTACCCTTGACCGGGAATTGGACTGGTGACAATTCAGTGCATGGGCTGGTGCTCTAACCACTAAGACACACTGGCCAGGGCTGTTTATAATTTTTAAATAAATAAAATACTGTAAAAGAATATAAGGCATAATATAGGATATAGCCTAGACTGCAAGGGTCAGGGGAAGTGATATTTAAACTAAAAAGAAAACTGGTAGAAAGAAAGGAGAACATATTCCTGTCATATCTTGTACTTTTCCTGTACTTAACCACACTTCAGTTGGAATTATTTTATTATCTAGCTTCACTGTAAGCTTTGGAAAGTCAGGGACCAACTCTGTCAATAGAATCCCTAAATCCCTAGAACCTAGTACACAGTAAGGCATTTACAATTAATTGAATAATTAAAAATATATATATTTTATTGATTTTTTACAGAGAGGAAGAGAGAGGGATAGAGAGTTAGAAATATCGATGAGAGAGAAACATCGATCAGCTGCCTCTTGCACACTCCCTACTGGGGATGTGCCCGCAACCAAGGTACATGCCCCTGCCTGGAATCGAACCTGGGACCCTTCATTCCGCAGGCCGATGCTCTATCCACTGAGCCAAACCGGTTTTGGCTAATTAAATAATTTTTGAGAAGAAAATTCAAACAATGTAGTATCTCCCAGTGGTATAATTACACCCTCTCAAGAGAGACAATTTCATTTAACACCATATGTACAAGAATCTGATTAAGAAAAGGAAAATATTTACCTGTCATAAATCTTGGCAATTCTTAGTTCTCCTCTTCCCTTTCGCAAGCTTATTCTTGTTGTTGATGCATGAGCCAGAATGTGTCCCCCAATGGGTTTTTTGGGGTCTGCCTGAAAACTGAATTAAAAAAACATTTTCAGGTTACAATATATGAACTATATAGAGTAAATCCTGAAATTTCAAAGTAACTTTTCTGTGGAGGATGGCAGTGGATGAAGTAGGTGTCTGTTCTGAACAAGCAGAAGTTTGGCCTAGCCAGTGTGGTTCAGTGGTTGAGCTTTGACCCAGAAACCATAGAGGTTGTGGTTTAATTCCTGATCAGGGCACATGCTCAGGTTGTGGGTTTGATCCCCAATAGGAGTGTGTGCAGGAGACAGCCAATTAATGATGTTCCTCTCTCACTGATGTTTTTATCTCTCTATCCTTCTCCCTCTAAAAAACAATTAAAGCATATTTTAAAAAAAATGAACAAGCAGAGTTCATTAATTTTGGTGTGAGGTAGAGTTTGGAGTCATCCAGGTTAGGCTTCTTGTTTGTTTTTTTTTAAATAGAAAAAAAAATCCCACAAATAAAATATTAATATGTTAGGATAACTCTTGAGGTTAAGCAATTTTTCTTAGCAAAATACACTTTATTTATTTATTCATGCACTCATTTATCAGAAATATTTATTAACAGCCTACTATGTGCCAACTACTATTCTAGTTTAATGAATAAGAACATCCAATGCTCCTTCATCATACTATGATGTAAATGAGCAGCTGGAAAACATCCTTCTATATATTAACTGTAGTTAAAAGCCTTCAATGTTGTACAGGTTATGAATTTGCAGTGAGAATAATCTCAGATACAGAAGTTATCAAGAATATCAAGAACCTTGCTGAAACCGGTTTGACTCAGTGGTAGAGCGTTGGTCTGCAGACTGAAAGGTCCCAGGTTCGATTCCGGTCAGGGGCATGTACCTTGGTTGCGGGCACATCCCCGGTAGGGGGTGTGCAAGAGGCAGCTGGTCGATGTTTCTCTCTCATCAACGTTTCTAGCTCTCTATCTCTCAACCTTCCTCTCTGTAAAAAAATCAATAAAATATAAAAATAAAAAATAAAAAGAACCTTGGACTGTAGAAAAATGGATGCTGCCACAGAAGATAGAACAGTTGAAGAGTCTATCAACGACAGACCAGAAAGGAGAGTCAGAGTTAGCTAAATGGGCTGAGAGAAGTTTTAACAGCTATGTTACAGGTGTCTCTCAATACGGACTAGTAATTCTGTATGAGCACAGTTAGCTTCACCTCCCCTTTTCCAAAACTTCAGTAGTTTCCTCAAGTCCCCTTCTGTATTCTTGTCCCCTCATCTTTGACAACACTGCCTGCTTCTTCACAGAGAAAATTAGTGCTTTCAGGAAGAAGCTCCCTCAACTCCACTTTCTGTCTGCCACCTACATACTTATTTGCAGTTGTAGTCATTCTTCCTCCCTCCCTCTCAAACTTTTCTTTTTTCTTATTTCAGCAACTCCTCTTACACAAGGATGCCTTTGCACACAGGCTTCCCTCTGAGACAAAAGCCCCTTTCCCTTGTCATTCTTCTTATGAATCTCTCCTGCCCCTATAACCCTGAGACAGAGTAGATGCCTCCTCCCTCTGTGCTCTCAAACTGCTGTACACATTTCTCTATTTTTTAAAATTAACTTATGTATTTAGCCTCTCCCGAAGACATTTTTTCCATTGATTTTGACTTTCAGACAGAGTGGAAGGAGAGGGAAAGACACACAGAGAGAATCGTTGGAATGAGAGAGACACATTGGTTGCTCCTGCACCCAGTACCTGTAGAACCTAGCCACCCTGGCCAGGCCTACAGGCCTCTATTAAAGCAGATTAGGGTACTGAGTCGACGTCATCCTGGATTTAGTTCCTGGTGAGATGCAGATGACAAAAAGAACTAGGTTCGGCTCTTTCTGTTCCTTTGGTGGGAAGGGTTTGGGGACTTTATAAGGGTTAAAGGGGCAGAAGTGCCAAGGGGAGGGAGTTAGGGGGCCTGAACAGAGATCGTGGATTGCAAATTAATGAAATTAACCTAATCTTTTCCATTCAGCCACCCCGCCGCTGGCCGGGCCCTAATTGCCCCGGTTAATCTCATTAATGCCATTGTGCTGCCACAGTATACCATCCCTCCGCCCGACCTCTCCGCCCCCATCCTTTCCCCTCAGATCCGGTCCTATTTTTGGGTGCGATTTCCTCTGCAAAAAGCTCAAATTCATTGTGGCGATTTTACTTTGGGGCAACTTTGCTTTTCCCTTTCCAGTTTTGTTTTGTTTTGAAGAAAATGTGATGGGCAGCGTTCACCTCCAGGAGGATTGAAAAGGCCGCTCTTCCCCCGTGTACTCACCGCCAAATCACCCCCCCACCCCAACCCTTTTGTTTTTGCAAAGGCCAAAATTTGTATAAAGGCACAAACGATGGAAGAGGTGCTGCATGCTTCTTTAAATAGGTATATGTTTTTATTTTTTGCAGTCACTTTGGGTCTGAAAACTACCATAGCAGTCAGTCCTAGGCCTTCCCCAGCGGAAACCAAATCTGGCCACTGCTGACACTTGGCCATCAAAAGCAGCATTCTGAACCAGTTTCCCGGTGTTCACTGCGAGGAATTTTTTTAAATTATATTTTGGAAATGGGGTGCCTTCTCTTTTTGTAATAAAATAAAATAAAAATAAAGCATTGCAATATATATATTTTTTAATTTTAGAGGATGTTTATTAAAGCTGGTGTGGACCGAAGGAGCTATCGATACATGCTAACCTGATAAGCTCAGGGGAGGCCTGCATGGCGGTCCTGCAAACTCAGAGACCTGAAGTCACCACACAGGATGGTCTCTACAGCAGCGGTTTTCAACCTGTGGGTCAGGTTTCTGGTCAGGGCAGCTCGATTCCCAATGTGGGGCGTGCAGGGAGCAGCATATCAATGATTCTCTCTCATCACTGACGTTTCTATCTCCCTCTCTCTCTCCATCTCTGAAGTCCATAAAAATACATTTAAAAAATAATAACAACCAAGATTTATTGAGTCCTTACTATGTGGCAGTCCATACTATTCAATCTCATCTAATTATTTCCCTTTGCTTGGATTCCATATTTAGTAACTTTGGATTAAAAATTGGATTCCTATAGAGGTCAACCTACAGAGAGAATGCACTGGTTATAAGAACCTCAAATGTAGTTATATTTTTCAGTATCAGTAAATGGGCCCTCTGGTCTTTGAGTCTCCTGAGCTTAATGTGGGTCTGCCCCTGAGAGATGAACTTGTTCTTAGCAGGATGGACTGAATCAAATCTCTGCCTGCAAGGCTTAGGGCCTTGAATTCTGGTCAATTAACCAGGGTAATAGGAATATACCTGAAAAGCCTCTCAAATGACACTATGCCAACCTTTTCCATCATATACAGCCCTGATGTACTGTATGATATATGAACTTACCATTCTAACTGTTTCTTCATTTTATTTTTAATATATTTTTATTTATTTATTTATTTATTTATTTTTTTACAGAGAGGAAGAGAGAGGAATAGAGAGTTAGAAACATCTATGAGAGAGAATCATAGATCAGCTGCCTCCTGCACACCCCCCACTGGCACATGCCCCTGACCAAAATCAAACCTGGGACCCTTCAGTCCGCAGGCCGACGCTCTATCCACTGAGCCAAACTGGTTTTGGCATTTCTTCATTTTAAATGGGGATTAATAACTGTGCCTAACTAGGAGGGTAGTGGTGAAAATAAAATGAAATTATTTAGGTAAGACATTAGTCCAGTGACTATAATATTACCACCTGCTTTCTTAAACCCGAAGCAAACATCTTATCTATGTTACCTTGAGCTTCTTAACTTTATGAGTTTCTTTAACTGTAAAATGAGAACAAAAAGACCTTATATCTTAGGGCTGTTGTGAAGATCCAAGATATATTTAGTATAACTCATAGGAAGCCTACTACATGCCAGGAACTGTGCCAATTAGCTCTACCCTTACAGTAATCTTGGCACAGAAGAGATACTCAACAAATGATAATTATTATTATTTAACTAAACAACTCAGATAAAACATACAGACCAAGAAAATCTCCTTAAAGTTTCTTTGAACTTTCTTTGAACCAAATCTGGAGGTAAAGTACAAGATAGCATTCCACATTCTTTTAGAGTGCTTTAATTTACTTCTATTTCTGACCAAGTAAGAACAGCTTAAGAAAAACACCCACATCCCTCCTTTAGCATATTCTCTTATTTCCCCTTCTTTTGTATTTTCTTTTCCACTTCTTCCTCCTTTTTTCAGGGGTTAGGGGGATGTGATGATAAAGAGGGAGAGATGGGGTTGGATATTAGAAATAAAGAGGGCCCAAGAAAGATTATTTATCCCTTTCTGGTTGAACAGAATACGGCCTATATCTTATCATGGAGGGTAGAACCCAGAACAGCCTGACCTCCCAACCTCAAATTTGGGTGATGGGGTCATGAAGCATATATATTTATGTTTATAGGTTATGGTGATGGTAGGGCAGATATCTTTCTGGGAGTGGAATGTACTTAATCATGACAGTGAGGCTAAAAGAGCACAACTCTGAAGTCAAAGATACAAGGATTAAAATCCTGGTTCTGTTTTTGTTTTTAAATAATTTGTATTTATTTCAGAGAGGAAGGGAGAGGGAGAGAGAGAGATAGAAACATCAATGATGAGAGAGAATCATTGATCAGCTGCATCCTGCATGCCCCACACCAGGGATTAGGCCAAAAACCCAGGTATGTACCCTGACCAGGAATCAAACCTATGACCTCCTGGTTCATATGCTGATGCTCAACCACTAAGCCACATGGCCGGGCTGGCACTGTTTTTTAATTGTGTGATGAGTAAGTACTAAATACTCTGAGCCTCTGTTTCCTCCTTTGTAAATAATATCTATCTGAAATATTTGTTGGAGTGGGGACCTTGAAGGACCTGGGCAAAGGCAAACTTGAGGGACAAGATGGAATTTCTGAGAAGGGGTCCAATGAGGAGAAAAAGAAAGGTGAGCATGCTCAAGAATAAGGAAGATGCTTTGAAGTTAGAGGAAGATAGTGAGAAAGAATATTGCCAGAAGAGA